GACGGCTGACACAGTTTGTGTGTTTAAAAGAAAACTTGGTCGTCTAGTTTTCGACAGAAATCGGCTTGTAAAGCATGACTATGCACAGCCACTTTTGTAAAATCTGTCATATACAATCTTCCGCATTAATTTACAGTGACCCCATGCACTACCTTATGATTACGATTGAACTGTGACCCAATCACATTTTAAATGCCTGCAATTTTATTTTATTTTTGAGTATGAATCTGCGAAAGCACTGTACATAAATAGGGTCATCAAGGGCTCTGCCTGTAACCCTTCAAGATACATACATACATACACCTTCTTCCAAAGCGGTCGCCCCAAGGCAGAGCGACGGGACGGCATCGTGGGGCGACTGCCCTGTCTGCCACAGGGCATCAACGATCGCCTGATGAGCCTCCGCCTGCCTCTACGAGGAGGCAAATTTACCACCATCATCAGCGTCTACGCTCCGCCGATGACCAGCCCTGACGCCCCAATGGACAAATTCTACGAGGACCTGCATGCTTTCCTGACGGCAGTGTTGAAGGCGGGTAAGTTGATTGTCCATGGTGACTTCAACGCCCGCGTCGGCGCAGACCATGCTGCCAGGAGAGGCGTGCTTGGTCCCCATGGTCTCAACGGCTCCAATGACAACGACCTGCTCCTTCTACGAACCTGCGCAGAACGCCGTCTCATCATGACCAACACCTTCTTCCGCCTCCCGATGCGGGAGGAGGCCACCTGAATGCATCCTCGGTCACGTCATTGACACCTGCTGGACTATGTCCTCGTCCAGAGGCGCGACCAGCGGGACGTGCTAGTGAAAAAGGAGATACCGTGTGACGACGGGTGGGCCTGTAGTGGAGAGCCACAGTAGCTACGTCGCGCCTCTCGCTAACGCCCGCACCCACGTCCTAGCGACAGCCTGCTATGGCACGCACGTCGGCCCGGCTTCGATTTGTCTCGTTGCAATTCACTGTCTGCACCACGCATTCGGTCGATTCTCTGCCTGCACCACTCGATCCTTGGATCCAATCACGCAACTCCTCTCGCTGATTGGGTAAGACGGGCAGGAACAGGCTAGAACACTAGCGTAAACAATCTGCAACGACAATTTTGCAGCGGCGACCTTCGGCGACACACGGCTCGTCGCTCTCGCGGACGCCGCCTCCGCGGCGCCGGACGCATCCTCGTCCGGTTGCTACCTTCCCTTCATTATTCTGTACAGAACGAAAAAATCATTTTCGTCTTCAAATTGCGTCCTGCTTCTAACAACTTGGGATATGGCCTGAAGTTCTGGCGTACTGAGTGTACACAATCACCGCTTAGTCGCTACAGACCGACCATCGCCTCATCATCTCGCGGATGCGGATTCGCCTACAGCATCGCAGACCTCAAAGTAAGCGACTCCCGGGTAAGCTGAATAATGCCCCGCTGTCTCTGCCTGATCAACATCTCC